ATCAACTGTAATACTGGTAAGACATCAGATAAATGAGAACCAGGCTTATAGCATTCAAAATGGCTTGATGAGTTGGTTGATATCCCATTTTTATTCAAAAATATTAGTTCGCAGAGTTCAATAAGTCATCGATCACTTAATTACTCTTTTATTCATTCATTCCTGAGACTAAATTAAATACGATATATTCAAATGTGTGCAAAATGGCTGTAGTCCTTGTCCTAATGGAGTTTGTAGCTTCATGCCAGGATCTTTAACTATTTCTGACTGTGCAGCTCTATCAGGGAAAAATTTGTAATGCTCTCAAATGCACAAATGTATTTCTTTAAATATTAAATAAAATCACTCATATATTATATACATTACAAAAATATTCCTTTTAAAACTAATATTGAAAAATAAATAGACAGATAAAGCCTCATGTTTCTGTCTCACATCCTAAGGGGTCATCCTGTATGCACTGAACATCCCATTTTGGAGAACAACGTGATTTGTGCAGCTTGTATACTGACCTCTCTTGCAGTGCCTTCTTTCAAACACCTTTGCAAGTAAATTTCAGGAAGTTTTTCACAAAATAATTAGGTATCTAATGTGAAATCAACAACCTCACACGCTAAAGTCAAGTGAAGGCACAGTCTGGATACTCAGGATGTATATATAGTTAGTGCATAAATAGATGGCTTTTCACTGAGACTGGCCATCAGGTCTGAGGGCAAATAGTCCTCCCTGCCATGCAGGGTAGTCATCATTAGAGCCTGAGCTCACTACTTCCTCCCTACCCCACCCCCAACTGGCAGAGGCCAGGAGGTTACAAAAACTAGAAACAAGAATCGCTTTATAAATCAGACACCATATTTGTACTAGTGTTTTCTTTATTGTCATAGACTGTTATGATAGACTTTATAAACTGTGGTTGGTAGGGTTGGATCACTGAGAGGCTTTCAGAGTTCTGTGCTAAAGGGAGTAAAAAAGGCCAAGAAAACCCAGCCACAAACAAAAAAGGGGAAAAAAACAGCATTACATGTCTGACCAAAAACAGGCTGGGTAAACACCACTTTTTGCACACATATAATGTGATATTGTGCTTGTGACTGGTATCTGTTACCACTGCATGGGTTGATCTCTCAATAACGATTGCAGCCACACATGTAATTTTGTTTTACGGGTTCACTCAATATCTGTATTAGAACTAAAACTGAGATACAAACCTACTTATGAATGCCCAATGCACCCATCCTATTTTCAGCATTGGCAAGAGAAATGAGAAATCTGATTATTTTGGCAAGATGTGCAGAATGTCACATTAACCAATAATCATCATCAAAGGATAACACATTTGGTAAATCACTATTTGACTAGGGTAAGAGAAGAGTAAATCCTTGGGTATAGGGAAAGATATGGCAAAGAGCCTAGCACAGTGTGTGTACTTAATGGACACTGGTTGACTCTAATGATAAGGTATGGATAGGCTTGTCTCCTTCCTGAAGATCTTGTCTAGGGGGAAGAAATGGCATCTTCTACCTCCAAACACACATAACAGCCCCTTATTCTTCAAAAACATTTACTTGTGTATCACCCATGCAAAAAGGCGAAGTTCTTATAGCACAACAAAAACAAATGTGAAATTAATGAAATAAAGTTCTACTCATCCTGTAAGTCATAACAATCTATTAGTATAATTAAGACTTTGTGCCTTCAATAATAGCAGTTAATTATTCTTGCCTTTCCATAATCTTTCTTTTTCTGGTTTGCTGGGTACTGAATCTCTCATTGTTTCTGTTACTCATTTGGAATGAGGCATCATGTCTCCAAAGGCTCCTAAAATAGTGAAAATTGCCATTATTGCTGAACACCTTTAAGTACAAACTGGATTTTCATTCTTTCTAAGCAGTCACTTAGACATCTTAAAGGAAATGAGACAATGAACAGGTAATTTCTTTTCTTTTCTTTTTTTTTGAGTTAGAGTCTCACTCTGTCGCCCAGACTGGAGTGCAGTGGCTGCTCCCGGCCACCGCAGCCTCGACCTGCTGGGCTCTGGCGATCCTTCCATCTCAGCCTTCCAAGTAGCTGGAACTACAGGCGCGCGCTACCACGCCCGGCTAATTTTTTCATTTATTGTAGAGATGAGATCTCACCAAGTTGCCCAGGCAGGTCTTGAACCCGCGGGCTCAGGCAATTCACTCACCTCAGCCTCCCAAAGTGTGGGATTACAAGCTGAGCCACCGAGCCCGGCTAAGGAACAGGTAATTTCTGATGGAGCAGAAGGTGGCAGAAAGGTTCACTGAAGCAACACCAATTCTTGACCACCAGCGAGCAAAAATTGGCCACCAAGTACCCTCTCCCTTAGGACATGAGGAAAGGCTAGGACTTTTTAAAAGCAAATCATCCCTATGCCATTTTTAATAATTCAAACTATGTTCATTTAAAGTAATTGTATATTATATTAAATTATATACACACTTACATTCTCACAGAGTTACACAACTTCTACTCAAAGCTGTTTGCTGTCTTTCATGGATATGTCTGCTATCCTTTACCCAAGTTACACTGTAAAATTTATGATGACTTTACATAGTTATATGCTTATATCTTCCAATCCTATTTTAAATGCCTCTGTAGACATTTCTAGTTTTATTCCTATAAACTTTGTACATTTTTTGTTAAGTTTAATTTTAGGGTATTTAAAAAAAATTAGAAATAATTTTGTTCATGTTTTCCAATTATTGTTTGAAATGCAGACAGCTAGTGATAACTGTTTATTAATTTTTACTAACTTATTTTGCTTATAGCTTTGGGTTTCTTTTGATTTTCTTACGGATATAATCAAATCACGTGCAAATTTTGTCTTCTTTTCTCTCCATTTGTTTTCTTCTTTCTTTCTTTTGCACAATTATATTAGCTGGCACCTTCAGAACAATGTGAAATAGAGTGAGAACAGTGGACATCTTTGTTGTGTTCCTTACTTTAAGAAAAATGCTGCTGTTTTTCATCATCAGTTAATTTTTAGTTTGAGATAGTTGTAATAACATCAATAATTCATATGGTTCTATTTTCCCATCTAAGTACTAATCAAGCCCAACCCTGCTTAGCTTCTGAGATCATGTGTATTCAGGGTGATATTACCATAGACATATGGTTCTATTTTCTAACGAATTTTAAACAGAAATAGAAGCAAACATTTTGACACTTTTCAGAATCTGTGAGATAATAATATGCTTTTATCCTTTGACCTTTGGGATTGAACCATTCTTGCATTCTCATAAATCAATGTTAACAGTATAAGTTCTAATCATTATATATTTTCAAAAATCATCTTGGCTGATCTCATATACTTATTGCTTAAGAAACTCAAAGGGTCATTGTTAAGAACCAGAACACCACTGAAATTAAAAGTTTGTCTCTTCATTTTAAGAAGAAGGGCCAATCTAAACAGAAAATTAGGACAAAATCATTTGCCTAGCCAGAATTACCTTAATAAGAGATTCAGTTTTGAACTAATAGATTACCCTTAGTACATGTAAATAGCTATTTAAGAGATACGCTTCATAAATGAGGTAAAAAGTAGACTAAGGAAATGAAATGTAAAACAGAACAAGGAAAATGAACACATTAGCGGTTACTTTAGCTCAGAAATTATAATGTAAGATTTAAAAGATTACTGAATTTAAAAACACATTTTAAAATACACATCTACAGCATAAAGCTAAGCACCTACATACTAATTATAACGAAGAAGTAATTTTCATAAGCAGTATGCTTTCTTATGGATAAAAGAGTAATATGCCCTTCAGTGGTCTTATGATAGACATTTCTTTATATTAGTATTTCTGAAATTAAGATGCAACTAGAATCATGATGGTCATTTCTAGCTTTTAGTCAACATTTTTTTCTTTCTTAGTGATGCATGAAATAATAAAGTTAGCTGAAAATTGGTGGTGTCTTAAATTTGATAAAATGTAGCAAATCTCAACTTTAAGGATATTATAGACATTTACCTTTATTACTTGGTTTTGCAAAATAGCTCCAACTCCTTACCCCTACCTCCCACACATATTCTCTTTTTTAAAAAAAATGCTATTACCATATGCAAATTTTTTCAACATAAACAAAGTTGAAATTACATTTAGATTTAAGGGCTTTGAGAACTTCAGGATTTACTCTGTAATGACCCGATATTGCAGGAAGTTGCAAAATCGAGGTCGGATGTATAGGCAGATGCAGGCAGGTGAGCAATGCACACAGGTGTTTTGCACTACAGTCACTGTTTGGGTTCTACCCAGTTTTTAGTAGAGTCAGTATGTAAAATAATTGCAAGGCTGCAGAATTGTCAGGTAACTTTGTTCAGGAAAGTAGAACAGGTAGTTATTATAATGTTTCTCAATTGGAGCTGTCAGTGTAAGAGAAGTCACTGGTCTTCTCTGTCCCTTGTTCCTTCCTTGTCACCCAGCTCTTCCAGAAGACAAGAACACAGACACAGAATGTCCATTTCACCCACCATATCATTTCCTCCTCTGCTTACTTACCTCCTCACCACAGACAACAACAAAGGACCAGTTACAATTGCTTGTCAGCAGAGCCCTGCATCTGCACATGTGGAATAGGGGAGTCTACCATTACAAAACCAGATGTAAAGGAAATAACTACCAGAAAGTCCTGTGAACTGAAGGGATGGTTTCTAGGTCAGGGATCTCAAACTAGCAAACTGACCCATGAACTAACCACAAGCCACCTTTGTCTTTCTTCCAAGTGTGAATATAAACCCCTCCTCTTAAGAAAAAACAAAGAAAAGAAAAGAATATTTTCATGAACATCTCTGGTCACCATAATCAGCCACTACCAACTTCCAAAGAATTCTGCTAATCTCTTAAAACATTCTCTTTAGCTCTTTAATAATGATTAAAATAAAAACAACAGAATCAACAGCACTTAGCCAGTTTTAATTTTCAGTATTGGTAGAGTCAGCAAGGACCCTTGACTTATCAACCTCAGTGTGGACTTACCTTTCGCACAGCTCCTTGAAAGGCCTGTTTAATTTTCTTACATGAATCAGGTATTAATTTTGTGTCTTGACTCTCCAGAGTTGTGTCTTGCAAATCTGCATCTTCATGGAGTCTCAAAATTCTGTAAATGCAGTGAGTGCCATCTTCTGATATTCTATTAGGATCCATCTGAGAGGGAAAAAAGTAAGGATATTAGAATGGTTGTTCATTAATCACTTTTCTATTTGGTAAAGTATGACTGAAGAAGAGAAATTTCATTCTTGCAGGACTCTTTATGTCCCTAATGATTAATATTTAATACAATTCTCTTTAAGCTGGTGAAAACATTGTCTTCTAATTCATTTGATGGAGCAGCTGACTATCACCCACAGTACAAGGCACAGTTACTTCCGTGGTGGCTTTTTGTTCTTTTGTTGCTGACTTTTTGTTTATTTGTTTGTTTTGTTTTTCATTGGTTTGTTTTGAGATAAGGTCTCACTCTGTTGCCCAGGCTGGAACACTGTGGCACAATCACGGTTTACCGCAGCCTCGACCTCCTGGGCTTGGGTGATCCTCTTGCCTCAGCCTCTCAGGTTGCTGGGACCACAGGCACATGCCACTATGCCTGGCTAATTTTTTTATTTTTCACAAAGACGAGGTCTTGCTATGTTGCCTAGGTTGGTCTTGAACACATAATAAGCTCAAGCAATCCTCCCACCTTGGAGGGATTACTGGCGTGAGCCACCACACCCAGCTTTGTGGTGGCTTTTAAAGAACAACAGAAGCATACACATGTGATTCATGGGGGAAATTCTCAAAATTATCTGACAACATGAAAGTCCTCATAGAGGGTGGGAGCATCAAGAAATCATATGTGGCATTGCAGGTAGAGAAAGCTTTTTGTCTTTAATTTATACACAATATGCTAGCAGGAATCATGAAGTCCACTTGAATATTCAAAGCACCAAACCTACACAAATCAGGCAAATTAGCATCACCTTTAACCACCACGTTTACCTGGCTTTTCCCCTTAATCAATGTGTATTTTAATCAGCTGAAGAAAGAGAAATTGGTTTCCTAGCTCCAAACAAAACTTAAAGCCAGAAGCATTATTTCTCTTTTTGTTGACCCTCTCATCAGTGTTTCCCAATTGGAGTGGTGCACCTGTCAGGGAGTGTCTGGGAATGTATGAGGGCGATATTTGGTGTCACACTGGGGTGGAGAGGCTGCATGAGCAGGTCACATAGACATGTGCCGGGGTGATACTGAGATGCTTGTCATGTAAGGAATTATCCTACCCAAAACAGACCCCCTTTAAGTAAGTAGCTAATCTGGTTAGAACAGGTTTGGACTGTCTGCCTGTTCTTTCCAGGTCTCTGACAAGCCTCTGTAGTGGCTTCAATGGCCCAAATAAAGGATAGCACTGATAACTATTAATTGTTTTAATAATAATAGTTTAACTTGTCCTTTTTCAAATATTCAAGGTACTTCATGTGCATTTGCTTATTAGGCACAAACTCAATGAAAAAAATGAAAGCTACATAAGTTTATAATAACTCAAGTGCAGCTCAAATTAATACCAAGTCTTTCTTTCCCTGGTTTAATTATCTTCTAGAAAGTAATCAGGAAGATATACCGGTTTGCTAACCAACCATCAGAAATAAACTAGAGAGACACCTATCTATATCTGAAATTCTCAAAATGAATGATAGCATTTAAGCAAATGTGCACCCAGTAATAATAAAATTGTATTATTCCAGTCTTGTGAATAAAAGGATTATCTACGATTATCATGGGAGAGGCACCACAATGAAGTAAAACAGTTTGCAATCCATATTTATTTTTCATATTTTCTTTAGAATAATTAGTACAAATCAGAATATGTGAGTTTTTCTGAAAGGAAAGCTTTAAATCACATACTTTTTTGCTTTTAAGTCTCATTCATGCGAATAAGTATCCCACAAGACCAGAAAAGGCTGAGCAACTGATACAAAGGGTCACTGGGTTCAGACCTCAGGAAGGATCATGCAAAGGCCTCAGTTGGCTCACCACTAGAAAACTGCTGAGCTAAAGGAAGACTGTGGCCCTGGGGGGAAATGCCAGGGGACCCTAGAACTGGTTAAACTCCAGCCCTGCTGACAAGCTAAGAGCTGTCTAACAGAAGCAGCAGTCCCCTATATTCAGGCGACAGTCTCATCAGCTGCATCATGGGCTCCCTGGGAGCTTGTTAGAAATGTCAAATCTCGCCAGGCGTGATGGCTCAGGCCTGTAATCCCAGCACTTTGAGAGGCTGAGGTGAGAGGGTTGCCGGAGCTCAGCCTGGGCAACTTGGTGAGACCTCGTCTCTACAATAAATAAAAAAATAAGCTGGCTGTAGTAATGCACGCCTATAGTTCCAGTTACTCGGAAAGCTGAGGCGGATCGTCTGAGCCTAGCAAGTCCAGGTTACGGTGGCTGTGAGTGCTACACTTCACTCCAGGCTGGGCAACAGAGTAAGACTCCAACTTAAAAAAAAAAAAAGAAATGTCAAATCTCAAGCTCTGCCCTGGCACACTGCCTGAGAATCTGAATTTTAGCAAGATCCCAGGTGATATGTATACAAATGAAAGTTGAGAAGTAATGCTTTAAAACATCAAATATACAAATACAGATTTTCTGCTATTAAAATTACTCCAAATTTCCTTGGACAAGAGCTTAAAACTTTTTTTGCAGGTAACATCAATTTACATAAAAATACTGCAAGTTAAAAATGGATACCTCCTAAAACTTGTTTTAATAAACAGTAAAATAATGTGGGGGAGGGGGAATGGCTAATGATTCTATGCAAATAGGCACAGTGCAAAGACTTTGTCCCCTTCTCTTAAAAAATGCCCGTGTTGGTCAGGCCCAGTGGCTCAGCCTATAATCCCAGCACTTTGGGAGGCCGAGGCGAGTGGGTTGCCTGAGCCTGAGGGTTTGAGACCAGCCCGGGCAACTTGGTGAGACCTCGTCTCTACAATGAAATAAAAAATAGCCTGTTGTGATAGCACACATCTGTAGTTCCGGCTATTCAGAAGGCTGAGGCAGAAGAATTACTGGAGCCCAGAAGGTTAATGCTGGGGTGGCCGTGAGCGTGCATGCCACTGCACCCCAGCCTGAGTGAAGGAGTGAGACTCCACCTCAAAAAAAAAAATGCTCATGTCTATTATAGATCCCTTTCCCACCTCCACCCATCTCCCTCCAGCCAATTTCTTAAATGTCCCCAAAGGTAGGGTGCAATTGCTGAATCTCTCTCCTAGTGCTTGGAATATGCAATTGAGAACCACTGTTTCGGAAGGCAACATGAGAGCTCAAATATGGATAAAAACCTCATCGAGTAACTGTTTTTCCTAAAAGAAATCAGGAATGCATTTCATAATTGGTTTTACAATACTCTTTTTTTTTTTAACTTAAGGATCACACATTAGAAATTTATTTTTAACCTACAAACAAATGTATTTCTCATTCCAGTGTCTTTGCAGCTCTCTTTTTCTGAAAATGGAGTCTAGGAGAAAAGGGAGGAAAAGAGGTTTGGGTACAAGGCCAACCATATCCACTGGTAATGAGGGCCCCCACTGATGTGGCCTCTACACAGAAGGAACTGCAGAGCAGGGAGCCAGGCTGGTGCTGGATACTCAACATATGTTCATCGAGTAACTGAATAAATGGATCTCCTACCCAACAACAACCCCTTTCTCAGAACACAACAGTCTGGTTGGAGGATTTGCATGACTGAAAAATTATACTATTTTAGCTACTAATTAGGTCATTTACATATTAAAATTAGAAATGGACATATTTGTAGTGTTGCAAATCATTTGAAAAGCCTTTTCAGTAAGTTCAACATGCCAGGCACTGAGCTAGATGCAACAAATAAAGTAGTGAGCAAAGCAGACAGTCCCTGTCTTCATGGGCTGCATGGCTTAATTCAACTATAGAACTCAGAACTTCAACAGAAAAATCACAGTAAACTGAGTTACTAGTGAATTTATTGCAACCATACGTGTCTGAAAACATTAAATAAATCTTGACTACCTGACTTTAAATGAACTCTTCAAATGCATTTTTCAGATGACGTAATGCCTACAAAACAAACTTCTTTTTTCTTAGACTCAATTGATACTTAATGATTTGTAGAGTTAAAGGAGGCAGGATGCTTGACATCTGTGCTACTTCATTATCTGTTTTCTCAAACAGGCAGCCTGCATACTTCAAATCAGATTTTCAGTGGTAAGTGCTATCCTCGCTTACAGTCAGGAAGATTGGTTTGTGCATATTGGAGGACTGAGGAAAGAAGTTAAAAGGGCAAAAGATTTCGAGTTTTCTGAAAAGCCTATCTGACAGCTAAAGTCTAAGATTTGAATGTGGTTAGATGGATGTTACACACACACACACACAAATTTTACAAGCATCTTTTTGAAAGTATTTTTTTTTCTTTGTAAACCAAAGTATGAATACTATGTGGTAAATATACAGCACAAGCCACACGCTGCTTTCTCTTTGGCAGGGTGGTGAGGGGAAAACCAATCTACATTGGATCTGGTGTATATATATATATATATATATTTAAATCTAGGCACAGGCAATATGCAAACATTAGGAGGTTGATTCATTTTTATCATTCAAACACAAGTTAAGAAGGGAAAATTTTTTGTAAATGGTCACAGTAATTTTTATACTATCCTGGGCATTTTTCTAAATGCTTTCAAAGCTGAATTAATCTGCTTGTTTCTTGAAGTTTTCCACACCTTCCTTTCTCCACTTATAAACAAAATAATACAATTAACTAGTTGTATCACTTTTTGAACTATAAACTGCAAACATATTACCTGATACTAGATTACTTCATTCTCATTGAAATGTGTTCAGAAACCCCAAGCAGTTGATCCACAACTTTAATGGAAATTTTTTTAAAAATTACTATTTCTTATTTGGTCCTAAGTTCTAATCCGAAGGAGCCGACGTAAGTGAAAATGTTAACTCAGTGGCAAGTCTCATTGAGTCTATTCTCTTAGCTAGACCCTTGAAAGAAGGGTTCCAGCACATGTAAAAGTGGAAAGAGCTGCAGAGTGAACCCCCATGCACCCAGCAGCCAGCTTCTACTGCATCATCTATAAGAAACCACTGCCACACCTCCACCCTCCCCACTGACTGATTATTTTGAAACAAATTCCAGACATCATAGCATTTTATTTGTAATTATTTTAGAATGTATCTCAAAATGATTCTGACTGCTTTAGTTATCAAATGTAGACACAAGATCCAGTAAAACACAACCAGATCTAGTGGTGTATTCATGGGAGCACACTGCTCCTAATATTATTTACTGAAAGAGATGAGCTTTTCAAAACACAGTACAAAATTAGGTTCAGAGTAATGTCTAAAACATTCTTTTAGATAAGTCTTAGAGAAACCCACTTCTCGTGGTCTTTAGGAAAACTCTACCCAGAAGTCTGATGGCATTAAATTCATCAGATGAAAACTTTCTAGCTAGGCTTTCTAACTCACATGTTCAACATTGGAAAAAGGTTTTGGTGTTTCGCTTGGTATCCTTTTGACATCAAGATCGCTAAATGATGACAGTTGATCATCAGAATGCCAGACCCCTCAGCCCACCTGATGAGAATTCCTGAACCACCACGCCAAGAGCCCAACAGGTCTCTCCTATATGACCACCCCATTGATGTCCATTGCTCCTGCCAAGTTGGCTGCTCATGGTTCCTAGAACCCCTTCCTTCCCTTCTGCTCTTTCTACACACTTCACTATTACTGCAATGAAAATGACACATTTCTAACATGTTAGAAAAGAGAAAAAGTGTAGCTCACTTGCATCTTTGGTCCCTTTTCTGAATACTGCACTTTTGTTTGACCAAGAATAACAGGTTTGCTTTTCCCCTCTTTGGAGGCCTCTCTTTTCCTGGCCCCATGTACACAGTGTGTGTTGAGTACATGATTCATAACTCATATTCCATAACATCGAATGGTACCATGCACTATGCAGGCACTCCATGCACAAGCATTAAACAGGGGTTAACAAAATACTAGATGGGAAAATGAATCAACCCTTCATTTTTTACTACAACACACTCCAATGAAAGAAAAATGTTTAGTCACATTCATAAAGACTTGTGTAATCTATGTTGTAAGTAAACCACTCAAAAGTTATCTTTAGGAAAGAAGTTATCTCAACGGGGAAAGATTGTTTTTTAAAATGCAAACTTTCTGAAATATTGCTTATAGATCTTCTACTTTTGTTTTAGTAGATCATCATACTAGTCCTAGAAAATACAAACCATACTTAGCAAAAAGGCTATGATTAAAAGTCATGGCGTCCAAGATGCTGGCACATGTCAAAAACCCATACAATCCACGCAGTGCCGTGTTTTGAGACATCCAGTATGGTTTAGTCGTCACCTTTGAATCTGAAAACGAATGAAGTCCAAACCCAACTTTCTTTTCCCATAAAAAAAAAGTGCATAGTCAGCCCCCCACTTCCTCTGAGAAGGAGTTCACAGCACCAGACAAGAATACTTGAATGAATCCAACCAACTGCACTGCAATTTCCAAGAAAACACAAGAGCACAAACCACCAGAAAGCATACTATTACACATTACCCCTTCCTTCCTACTATCTCCCTGCAGTTCCGCGCCGTGGCGCAAAACCTTTGGGGCTTTTTCTTCGCGACGTTGCAGCGAGGCTGTGGCACCGCGCACACCTGGCTTCCGCCCTCCACCCACCTCCCCGGGAGGCACGTGGGGCCGGCTGTCCTTCCTCTGCCCGCGCGGGGAGCCCCACAGGACAGCGCAGCAGCAGCAGGGCTCTGTCCCAAGCCCCGGCCTCTGGCCGCGCTCGGTCATTCTGCCCATCCGACGACCAGGGCACTGGCCCCGCGACCTTCAGCTCTTCGCACCCCTCCGGCACGGTGGCCCCGAGCACACCTGCAGAGCAGCCAGGGCGGGAACCGAAATCCGCCCGACGGCGGGCTGGAGGGCCAGGGTCGATGCCCGCGAGAAGGCGCTCAGGGTTTGTCCTCGGTGGGCCTAAGTTGGTTTTTAACTTCAAGTGAGAAATGAAGGGGAGTGTGTGTGTGTGTGTGTGTGTGTGTGTGTGTGTGTGTGTGTGTGTGTGTGTGTGAGTGGGGGTGCAATCCCTTCTGAAGAGGTGAGTGGCCACTGCCGTTTCGGGACACCGGGAGATGAGACTGAACCCCAGCCTCTGCCTGGGAGGCGAGGCGGGCAGGGGTACGTGCGCGGAGAGGCGAGCGCGCCCGGCAGCCCCGCGCCCGACTGTCCCCAGCCAGACGCTCCCCCTCTTAGAGTCAGTTTCCCCTCTTGAACTCACCCTCCTGAACTTGCAACATCTAGGGGGCCGAGCTCGGAGTCCAGGCTCAGTTTCCTACCAGTGAGGAAGGAGAGCCTGACCGCGCCCCCGGGGAGGTGGCCACTCACCTGCGCTCTGAAGTAGAGGA